TAATAAACTCACACACACTACACGGATGCTAGGACTCGAACCCAAGACACACTACACGGATGCCTGAGGGAGTAAATACTCCAAACCACTACACTAGTGGGTCCTTTGCCTTTCCCACTTGCTTCTTAGTTGTTTAGAAAAAGAGAAAAAAAAAAACAAAAAAAAAAAGGAAAAAAAGGAAAAAAAGAAGAAGAAACATCAAAAGCCCATTGACTTGAACAAGAACTAATTAAAACCCGTGCATAACCATGCAAATGCCTCACTGGCGCCAAAGTTAAGCAAATGCCTCAACAGGGAAGGTCTTTGTGATCCCGGCAAGGCTCTTGAAGTGAATCTTCCCAGTTGGTGGCTCATCCACTGTGATCTCACTGACTGGAGGCCACAGCACCAGCTCCTTGGCCTTCACGCCCTTGAGCTTCTTGATCCTCTTCTTCTCAATGTAGCCGGTGATTTCAGTGTCATAGCTCACAAGCTTGCTGATCAGTTTGAACTCGTGCTCCACCTTCTTCTCTTGCACGATCCACATGTACCCCGTGCTTTCGACAAACCCGACTTCGATCACACCGACCAAGGGAAGAACTCCTTGAGGGAGTTCGAATTTTTGGAGAATAGAGGCTGCCAGTTTCAAGCCTTCTTCGTGGCCTTTCTTAACTATGGCCCCTTCTTTCTCTGCCATCCTTAATGATTAGCTTGTGGTTATGTTAATTAATTTTGTTAATGGAAGGAAGATGAAGTCTTAAAACCATTTATATAGCTAATACCAAGTGCAATGGAAACAAACTAGATACATGGTGGAAATCGAAGTATGTGCTTCGTTTTAGTCGTCACAAGTATTGTTTCACTTTGCTATCTTCCCACATGTTTTATCTATATTAACTAAATGTTCATCACTAGGCCATCACAATCACACAAATTTTTTTTATATTATTATTTTTGTTTTTACAAACTGTCTTTATAGTTTAACTAATTTGTATTACATATACACTTAATTGTTCTAGTTCCCCTTGAAAGTATGATCAAATCTTCTATTATCATTTGGTAATCGAAGTGACTCACATTACCCTTTAACCAATTTTTAGCATTTGACTTTACCTTCCATTGTCAAGTGTGTCGTAAAATTCATTAAAATTGTTGACATGACATGAAATAGACTTATTAAAAATATGTCATGTCAAATTTCAACAATTCGTGCCATGGCTTTGTTGACATTTTCGAATGTTTTGATTTTCTTTGAAGGAAATCATGTGTTTATAAAAGATCATTTGAACATATACGTGAAGAACAGAATCACTATATATTATGACAACGGAAGCTTAAAAATTAAAATCATGAGCAAAAACAAATCTTTTTCCCATGCCTTTAAGCCTAAAGGATTGAAGCACGTAGACTCTTCTACATTGTCCAGAGAGAGATAAGAAGTTGAAGCACTACCTTGAGCAAAGCTCTAGGTCGATCACCTATGGAGGGCCTTCACCAAAAGATTCTCCAAGAAAAAACTACACAAATAAGCATGGCCTCTAATTTCATACACAACAAAAAAGAGAACATGGAGAAGAAGATGAGAACACAAAGAGGTGTAGGTGCTAGCAACACCTCCTAGTGTGGCCGGCCATGGTCAGGTGAGAGTGAGAGTACTTTTTTTTTTTTTGGTCTGAACCACGAGGTGGTCCTGGATGGGCTCCAACTATGGATGACACCTTTAAGCCTTAACCACAACCCAGACTAATCCCCGTTCACACCGGGTCGGCCCGTAAGGGGTAAAGTGCTGGCCAAAGTGGTGGCCATGGTCAGGTGAGAGTGAGAGTACTTCAGTTGCCTCACTCAATTCCCAAAACTTTAAAACCCTAAGATGACTCAAGGTACTATTTATAGGCTAGGGCATTTAAGTTGGTTCACCCATGACCCATATAACTTAAAAGGACCCATGTGAGTCATCAAATGGGTCAAACCCATTAACAATACCTCTACGATCGGTTTTCCTTGCTTGTTGGGCCTCTTGGGATTAAGTTTTCATTTACAACTCATTTTACAAGCCCAATTGACATTGAACGCCGAATCTAATTTCAATACAATTTATGAGCCTTAATTAATCAATTTATTTATATTAACTAATTAAGCCTTGCTCATAATCTCTTAATTAATTTCCATCACTCGGCTTTTGGGGCGTGAGATTCATTAGGTTTTAATCGACGAGGTAGTGGGCAATTTGGACTCTTCCTTAATTGATTGTGAATTAAAACCCTTTTTAATTCTCCTTATTATGAGGATCCAGTTATGGTATGTCCTCAAGGCTTCCACAAACTATGAGTGACGTTTAGCAACATTTTACGGTTACCTAAGCCAATATAGAATGAGGTGGAGAACCTATTCAGTTAGAATTATAATGTAATACGGTGGTCTTTCTCTAACTCAATGCTCTTAATCACATCATTAGGGCACATAAAACAGGTTAGGCCCCTAATGTGAAATCCAAGCTTATATTACTAATACAAGTACGATTGGAATCAAGGACTGAAATATTGATAATATCGATGAAATATCGGGTATATTATCATTTTTTGGAGAGAGAGATATTTTTTAACATATCTGTGTACTTATCGTATAAATATCAATAATTTTGGAGAAATTTCGACACCGATAATATCTTTTAATTATCATCAACATTTGGTCAATATATCGCGATATGGACATGGAATAGAAAAAATAATGAAAAGGCTTATGCGTGCACATGGGGATTCAAACTCGTGTCCATTCTTCCTTCAACGCCTTATCCACCACACTACTGATGACTTTGTTATACACAAAACCAACCTTTTCCCTACTCTTCATATCCCATGCCTTTTGGGACTGAATTGAGCGACTCATGGAAAGAATTTGAGATCTAATCTTTAAATGATTTTGCTTATGGGCAACGTCAAACAATCTTGAATCCATATGGGTGGCATGTTAACAATTACATGCAAAACTATTTTGGGTATTTATTATTTGATGACTACTTTTCACAGTATACGTACTCTACATATATCTAAAGATGATGAAGACAGTGAAAATTTTGAACCTCATAGGAACTCTATGTGGTACTAAGTCACTCATGTATCTTATCATGCAATGTATAAAGTGTAAAATATTGTAGTAAATTATTATGGTTTGTTTAATTTTCTTTCATTAATTACTACATATTTTCTACACTCATAGTGTTTGTCAGTTAGCTATAGAATCAACTTAAATCAATCAAAACCACTATGCAATGCATTTCCTTCCAATTTTGTGTGTTAACATAATCGATAATTGACTAAATAAATATCCTCTAAACTTTCAATCAAAATTTCTAAGTTTTTCTTACAATTTCCTTGGTTTTTATTCAATTGTTATCGTTATCGATAATTTTCCGATATTTTCATGTTTTTGGACCCCCGATATTTCTTAAACCCTCGATATTTTAGACCTTGATTGGAATTACTATTTTCAATCATACCTAGTGTTTCAGTCGAAGACTCCTGAATCATATTGTCAGAACATTCTCTCTCATTACTTAAAGTAGAGATTCCTTGTTGTACACTCGCCTCCATGAATTGATCATGAACCCCCACCATACCTTATGGTCATGCCCCAAGGAACACAATGCTTTAGTATGACCAAAGGCTCACAACACTTCCATGAGACAATTGTGATGCATCTGGTCGATGACTAATTTACATTATTGCAACTATGGAAATCTTGTTTGACATGTAGGTAAAACTTTGATACAAGATCCCTCAGTTGATCGTGTTCAGTGAATTCACTCTCTAGTTGACATATATACACTTATTTTAGTGTTTCTACACTTAAGTTTTACTTTCAAAATTGGACCTAATTGTTCGAGTCCCAAAGAAAAAAAAACTCTAGCTTTAGTCTCTCTATGTGAGTTCCAAAGAAAAAACTTAATAGAGGGGACAGAGGAAGAAGCATCACAAACAACCCTTCTCTCCTCTCTTCTCTTCTTCCCTTATTTTTTTGGACTAGTAAAAATATAAATAAATAATTAACGAAGTTACTCTTCTTCTTCTTCTTCTTCTTCTTCTTTTTTATTTTTATTTTCGAACCAAAATTGGTCGTACTCAACTTGAAAAAGAAATTAAAAAAAGCGACTGATAAAAGTTAGGTCTTTGTCAAGTGGATTTGAGCTCACACAGTTTACTGAGAATTATTTCAGAAAATTGCTACACTAATAATCATATTTCACAGCTCATCTTAAAATAAATAAATAAATAAATAAAATCGATGAAATAGGGCGCATATTTAAACGGATTAGTAGGTGATAAAATTAAAAGAGCAGAGACAAACGCAAAAGAGAAAGCAGAGCGAAAATGGCGATGGTGAGTGTGAGCAAAGCGAAAACGAGAGGTCCCAACCACAAGATGTCTCTGGAAGATTACCTTCTTCTCATTCAGTCTCACTCCAACCTCCATCTCACCGCATCAGATCTCAATCAGGTTCTTCTTCTTCTTCATCATCTAATTTAGCTACATCTTTTACTTTGATTTTTAAATGGAATATTAATTTCTTCTTCATCTCGGAATTTCGGTTTTGCAGATCCTCGGCATGCACGGGTACAGGAAAATCCACGGAGTCAACAAGGTGAGAAAATTCATTCATTCTTATCTTCTGTTTGGTTCCAGAGAAAAAAAAAATTGATGAAATGTTCATCGATTACATATCATGATGATTTCCATTTCTTCTCTAGCTTAGTTTGTTGTTTCTTATTTCATTGAAATTTGCTTATATCTTCCTCGATTTTTCTTCTCCATCACATTTTCCTCTTCTTTTCCCCTTTCTTCAACTCTCTAGCAACGTCTGAGCGACGCCGTGAGCTCAATGTCCCTGGTCCAGCCTGCTCGCTCTACGCTCAAAGACGGCATCTCGCCGTTTGCAATCACGGCGCAGGAGGACGTCATCGCTGCCCTCGACGTGCTCAAGTGGAAA